GTATCGGCCAATTTTCAAACTTAAAACGGATTCTGTGAGAGTAGAGATTACTCTTTTATTTGCCGTGCGTTGATTGTTCAAGGGCAATAAGGGTTTTTAGAAAAACGCTCTGGAAAATGACTTCCATACTAAAAATGCTCGAATTTGGTGTCTTTTTAAGTTCAAAAGGACAATACTTCTACTTCGTAAAAATCGTTCATTTTAGTTGCCAATTGTAGATCATCTTTAATCTTCAAAAAGCCGTGCGTTGATTTTAGAAAAGTAAGTTTTACGAAGCCTAGTTGGCCAATTTTGGCCCATTCTTCTCTAATAAAGGGCTCCTCCAAAGGCTCCTCCTCGCGAAGTCGCCTTCAAATTTGGTTATGAAAAATTCGTGATTGATCGATGAGACTGGAAACTCCCTCGTGTTTTAGATCGTGATTTTCCCTAAAACAAGCACGATGACCCCCTATTTTAATCTCATTAATCTTTTCGATAAAAAAAGTGCTTTTCTCCTGCAAATAAAGTTCAGTTGATATGACCATTTTTCAGGCAATGAAATAAAATTGACCAGAGGAGCTTGTAGATTTAACCCATGCCTGCGTTAGATCTATTTTCGACGTGTTGTTATTTTCAAGGGGAAGCAGTCCAGGAAGTTTTCCACGGATAATACAGATTAACGTTTAAGTTTCGTCCAAGACTAATTCTGAGAGGAAACCGAAAGTAAAAACAATCGATGTATGAGAGAGTTTCTTTCCCCCTCCATTTAAAAAGAGGCTCTTGGAAGTCAGTTTTATTTTGTTTGTTTTTTTTTTCTTTTTTTATAAGCCTTTCAGTTAATGGTTATGAAATAGTAAAAATTATTTTTCCTGATTATATTTCATGTTATCACGCCACCGTGTCACACAACGGAGTGGAGGAAAAAAAGTACTTCTTTTAAATTCATCCGATTAGAGTGACGGCGCAGATTATTTGTGTTTTCTGAAAAAAAATCGCATTCGCCATTTGGGCTTGATAACTCGGTAGTTTGATATTTTTCATTCAAGGGAATCATAAAGTCAGGCTATAACAGCAAGAGAAGTAAACACAATGACACATCAGGTCTAAACTAAAATGTTTTAATCCTTTAATCTAACCTCAAAGCGAGACAGAAATCTAATTGTTGAGGGTTATATTTAGGACGTTCAAAGTATCTCAAATAAAAAAAAATTAAATTAACAGAACTGCCTCTACAGCTGACGCAGAACACATAGTAGTCTGTTAGAGCAACAGGTAACGGCTGACAATAGTGATGTCTGGTAGCGGTTTAGAGGGCAAAGAGAAAGTTCGTGACTGTCCCTCGCTGAAGCACGTCCTCAAACCTGGGACACTACGCAGATTTTATGGGTAAGTTCAATCCCAGTGCAGTCAGTTATTGCTCCTCATCTAAAAAAAAAAAAAAACCGAGAGCAGAAAAGGAAAAATATGAACTAAAGAAAAAATAAAACAGCGAGGAATTTAACTAAGTTAAATATAGATCAAATGGATTTAATGATATAAATTTAAGGCCCCATAAAGGCAACACTCTGTTAACGGCAGTTGAATAAAGGAGATTGAGAAATTGTGGTGCCGCGTCGGTGTGGGGGACCTAACAAGATCGATTGTTCTTATCAACTGAGTTGATAATATAAATTGATAGTTTTTAGTTAGTTCTGTTGAGGATGAAACAGTCGATTAGGCAGCTCAGAAAAAGTACATGACTTTGTCCTTCGCTGAAGCACGTCTTTAGGACTTGCATGACAACTCTGGGACTTTGGGTAATTCTTTACGTCGATTCCTAGAAGTGTGGGTTAGTGTACATCGTTGAGAGATCGAAAGGCAACAAGAATCAGAGAGGTAGATCAGTAGATAAGAAAAAGATGAAAACAGTTAGAGATTGAACATGAAAAATTTAATTTTCTGCGTAATTGTTTGCTATCGGTTACTTTAGGGCAGGTATTTTTTTTTTATTAAAGCTTAATTTAGTGAATGCCCTTCACTTTTAGTAGTAATTATGTGTCTTTGATTTGCAAATTACAAAATAATTATAAATTCAGCGAAAACTTGATCCTGGTGACTGAAGAATATAACGAGACGATTGTAATGGACGTAAGGAAGCAAACTGAATTTTTTGAAGTTCCCATGTGCTGCTATTAAGGCAGCAAAATAAGCCGCAGATAGGAGCCGGAAATACATTAGTCTCAGCTTTTATTTCCGAATGAGTTGTACCCTAGCTGAGACCAAGTTGAACAGGAAGGTAAGGACGAAATAGAAAAAGAACGTTACTTTGTCCATTGCTGAAGCACGTATTAATCAACAATTTTAGGACAGGCTGTTATCATATACGGCGGTTCCAGACACGATCAGTTTGTATGCAGCATTTTAAGGATTGCAAAACAAGAAGGGTCAAAATAGAGAGAGTTCCGATTGAAAAAGTTTAGAATAGACTGAACAGATTTTACCATGCTAACTGTAAGTAACTCGATAATCTCTAGTTATTCGAATTTATTTCCGGTTAAGCCAAAACTTTTAAAGTCTTATCTGAATCAAACTGAATTTAGTGAAAGCCCCAGGCTTTTGGTGGAAATGAAAGTTTAACGATCACCTGATTAACGCCGATGACCTTTCCTCATCGATACACTGATTTATCAAATCAAGGTTCTTTATTTATTTCACTGAACGTCTTTGACTTAAAGTTCAAGGTTTCTTTAAATTGTAAGAATCATTCTTCTCGTCTTTTTGTTACTCAAGTAATTTTGATTTAACAAGAGTTTACACCGAGCCTATTTACACTCTGGCCGGATTTGCGGTTCAGAGGCCTTACGGTTTTTAGCAAAATCGCTGTTGAGTCTTGTGCTGCTCATCGTTTTTTAACATGGAAAGTTATGGAGATTAAATGAGACTTTGGAACGGGTTGATGCCATTGGAATCTCCAAAAATTGGTAGATGAAGTGAGGGGACCAACGTAAGTACTACGGCGAAGTCAACAGAAAAGGAATAAGTCAGAAATCCGGAATGATGGTAACCATTAAACTCTGTGGGATAATAAATGCATACCTCAGGCGCTCTACAAAACCAGTTAAAAATAAAATCCTGCGTTTACCAAATTTCCGGTTGCAAAATTTATCAAATTTTGATGCTGCGATTCAAATCTTTTTCTGCCTGCACAAGCCAAATTCCCCTATTTTCCAATCCTATGTCAAGTTGCGCCACACAGTCGCTCAATAAGCCGTGCATTTGAACGCGATGATCTTTGTTTACAAGGTTTTCTTTCGCTTACATCTGATAACAGACCTCTGAAGTTTTCTGTCTCCAAACGATATAACTTCGCCTCGGTCCGTAAAGACGCAAAAAGAAAAAAAAAAACAAAGAAGTCAGCCAATATCCAGCTATCTTGACCTCACTCTTGGTCAATAACGTATATTTATCATATGACCCTTAAGCGTGCAATCTCGGAAAACCATAGTGAAAGCTGTTCGGCCCTGCAGCCATACAGTTTTGTTTCAAAAGCTAAAGGAAAAAGGGACAGAGTGAAAAAGAGTTGCGTTTTTCGATGAATTGTTTCTTGTTCTGACTCTGACTTGTTGTAAAATTATTTTCTTTATTTCCTCTCTCTCTTTCTTTACAACAGTCTACCCGCACCCATGGCTCAGTGTGGACAGCAATTATGTCGTTTTTCGTGCTTCTTGACTCGGCAGAGTTGGTTCTTTCCAGTCCACTTTGGAAAATAGATGCAGATATTCCATATCAAAGGGTATGGATCAGTACTTGGGGGCACGTTTCTCGAAAGCCACGGTAACTAATTTCGGATGGACCGGGTCCTTAAAAATATTATTGCTGGACGATTTTTATTTAGTTAGCAAGATTCGATTGATTTGGGTTTGCCTTAAAAGGAAATGAAACAGAATTAACAGGTTTTCGGAGTAAGTAGCTAGTAAGATTTTCAAATATAGCTTCGCGCCCGAAACTGTTACCGGTTACCAAGACTTTCGGAAGACGGACCATCGAGGAACAATCATTTTCTATAGCCTGGAGTTAGTGGTTGGGGAAGACGGGGGACGCGGTCAGAGGATTTTTTGTGGTTATAACAGGTTTTTTTTGGGAAACGGAGGAGGGATCTGTCGTCGCTTATAGGGTATAAAGGGGGGGGGGGGATTATGGCCTTACCTTATACCTATTCATGTTTAATATTACATCCTAGATTATGAAATACAATGTCACAATCACAAAGTCTGGAGAATGGTACAATGAGAGGATAGAAGTGGACGAAGAGAAGCAAACTGAACTGATTAAAGTTCCTGCTACTTCCAAAAAGCATCGTAGCAATATCTTGCTCGACTTCAAAACGGTAAGTCTGGACTGCCTGCCGGGTCATTGAAATAAATGTTGCGCTGCATGGTTTTGTCTTTAAGGGCATACGCAGGGGTGGTGGGATGTTCAGCGAGTCTTTCTGTACGACATTCCCCCTTCCCCTCCCCCCTCTTATTAGCTAAGGGAATAGATGATAGGTTTGGACAGCCTCACAAAAACTTTAAAATCCGATTACTCTTGAAGTGTCGCCGCGTTTTTGCAATCCCTATCCTCATGATCGTTTTATTAGCTTACTTCTTTTAAAGTTGAGATGTTACTTTTAAATTTTTGTAGAATACAAGCATGTTTCAGTTACCAGATAAAAAGATCTGTCTCTTCATGCCCTTTGACCAAGAAACGCCGTCCCCAAGTCAACTTATACGTAGCCTTGATAGTGAGGTAAAATCGATAGAAACTATCGATAATATGTTAAAGAAAGTATATTCGACGTATTTAATTGTTGTATCAAAAATTAAACAGTAGTTTGTTTTTGGTAAGGCAGTCTCCAATTAATGGCCTTCCTATTTTATTTGCTTGAATTTCTATAACGGTTTTTTGTTTGAAACCTTCCCTCTGTATGTCATAGGTGGAGAGGGTTTGCCGAGTAACTTCGAGTCGACTAACGAGTTGTAACCAGGAACTGTTTTTTTTGTGTGTGTCAGTAAGAATATATTCAATGGCTTTTTGGTGTTATGATTGTCCTGACTATACAATGAGAGGTAATAAGAGAACAGAAAAGAAGGCTTCTAGTCCAGGCCTTGGGATTTTTCAAAGGGTGACAGCTTTTAGCAAAAATGATAAAATAGGTCACGTTTTCGATAAATTGTGAGTCTCTTGTTCTGACTCGAAAAAAAAAGGAAAAGGTTTCATTGCACAATCTATTTTTGGTGGTTTTCCCAAGCGTACCAGTCTATTGTGTCCTATTTCAGTTAAAATAAACTTTTCGAATTTTTCAAAACTTATTCAGTGGTCATATGATAAAATATGTATCGACTGAGTTAGTCGAGCTGGACGGGAAACTATTTGGCTCTCGTTCATAAACGGCACTTGCACTCGCTCTGTACGCCATAACCTCGAGCCAGACATTTTCCCGTCAGGCCCCCTCTCACTCATTCAATGAGTACATGTTATAACATAACCAAAGTAAAGCGCGCGCTCTGATTGGTCAATTTAGCGTCCCTCAATTGGCCCATGGGTGTACGCTGCTGACGTAAGCAAATGCAAAGACTATTTTTCCGCGCGCGCTTGTCTTTTCTGGTCGTGTAAGATTTGTTAAATAAGAGGGAACTGTTGTGAATATGTTTGCGTTTGAACTATTATTATTAAACTAAATTTTATTCTACCAACATGAACATCCGAGTCCAGGAAGACTTGCACCTGTTGTGGTTTAATTTTCTGAAGACCTATATAAGTAATAGCTGACCCTAAGTGTAATGAAATTAGGCCCTTGATATAATACACTCCTAAGGTGTTCCTAACTCGACATTCTACATATGGATCCTTTTTGCACACATCTCCCAGTTGTCACAGACTCTACGACAAAAATACATCACACAAGGTGACCAGTAAAGGAAAGTGTACCCGGCTTCGTACACTTTCAATTATGATTTTAATTAACTGTAGTATTGTATCAATTTTAAATACTCCAGTAGTGTAGTGTTGAAGTTTTGTAGCCTTACAATCTTGTAATTTTTGCAAAATAAAAAAGTTTATTAAAAAAAAGAAAAGGAAAAGGAAAAGTGGAACCATTTGCTTGTCACAAGAGCCAGTTCATTTAACTTGGGAATGAACCAGGAGTATATTATCAAACTTTGGAACTGGAACCCTAAAGACTTCACCCGGAGAAGTCTATTCGGGTTGAATGTTACTCTGAATTATGCGGTCTGCCTTGAGGGCGTTTGACGTCTTTTTTTCAAAACTCGGGTCACTTTGTTTACTGACTTCCATTTTTACTAAAAGATATTTTTTCAATAAAAATGGCAGATTTTGGAGATACTGATCCTCTGTTAGAGCATAATGATGATGATGAGGATGAAGATGATGGAGATACAACGACACCTTTTCAACGTTGAAAAGGTGTTGTTGTATCTCCATCATCTGGAGATCATCTGGAGTTGAATTCTCGGCATCTGGTTAGCTGGATGAGAATTCAACTCCAGGACCCTCAGGCGAAGAAATTCCAATGACAACAATGAACAGGGAACAAGAAAAGAGTTAAAAAACGGCTGAGACATCTTTCATCGAAGGTGATATTTTTGGTTCGCGAGTTTTAACTTCAAATGAGAATGCATGGGAATCTCCTACTACAATTTTTTCTGAGGCAAAAGCTTCAGAACTTGAAGTTTCTTACAGCAAGAAAGGAAGGTTACAGGTGAAGATGTTTGGTCAAGGCAAGAAGACATATCCTTTGTATACTGAAGAAAGGGGTGCAAATAAGCAGAGGTTGAATCTTAGTCTCCCAAAACAATTTCAGTAGAACTTCACTTGGCCCTGAGCGAGAGGTTTTGATTGCTCAGAAGGATAAAGAAATTGAGAAGCGGCAACAGTCTATTCAAAATGATCAAGAGATTGTTGATGATGAAAATGAAAATCCTGCCATAAGAGAACAAGCAGGAGAAAGGATAAAAGAAGTAATAGAGCAGATTGATGCTCTTGAGAATGAAAGAGAGAGACTCTAAGAAAGATTATCACTCCGTGAGAGAGTGAGAAACATCTTGAAGAAGTATAGTTTTTACAGTCACAGCTGTTGTTTTGGCAGTTGGAACAACGATTGGAGTGATTGTGAGCACATTGACAAAAGGTCTAAAGACTGTTGCCAAAGGGGTAGGGAAGGGGCTTAAGACTCTTGGAGAAAAGATCGCTGGAATTTTACTCGGTCTCATTGGTTCAGTAGTCGGCTTCGTTTTCAGAGCTGCTGGGTCAGTGATCAGCCGCTTTCTCGAAGAAAATGCATGGATTCTGATGATGGGTATTGTAATATTCATGGTTGAGCGATTTCAGAACAAAAAGGCAATGAATCAGGAAGGCCGACATCAGTCCAACTGAAATCAATCTGACTTTAATTTTATCATGATTTGTCTCGCTGTCGCTCAACGCTTTTGTTTTCAACTGAACCTCAGTTGAAGTCTTTTGATTTGATGGGTGAGAAGTAGGTCTGTTGATTTTTGATAAGCTCCCATTCATCATGATGCCTAACTCCAACTGATTTCATCTCCAAATTCACTGATTTATTGACTCCAAACTGCATGTCGGAAGTTACCTTCTTCAAGCTCTTATTATACCCAACTGCGCTATTTGTGTTCAGAAGAAGATTTGAGGGAATGAGCCAATTACCTGGTGAGATTGCAAGATCAACTCTCACTTTCGCCTCATCAATCGCGAGCTGAAACCTCTGAACGCTCTTCGGGATGTTTGTCGTTCTGATCGCATCCTCAGCTAATACAAGGAACTCACGCTGAGCCCCTTTTGCGCTTCCTGATGAACCCAAGATGGATGATCTAACATTAACTTGTGAATCGAAATATATCAGATTGCGTTTTATAGCTTTTCCACCTTCATCGCTGAACTTGTCGTCACCGGGTTATGAGATGGCAGTTGTCATTGGTCCGGTATTCGTGACATAAATGAAAACAGATTCGAGACCGTGATTGTCTCCCTCTGTGAAGCGAAATTCTGTGCTTGGAGAAATTCCAAATTCTGAACATAACCTTTCGAACGATTGCTTGTCGTAGTTATTATTTATAAAGGTTAATAGTTTCTAAAGAAAGTATTAAGTTTATTTAGTTTCTAAAGAAACTATTAACGAAATAATTTAATAAAATACGGTAACGAAATAATTTGAATATATCAACAAAGTTGAAATGGTAAATTGGCCACCGTTACGATTATATAAGCTGACGTTTCGAGCGTTAGCTCTTCGTCGGAGCGAATAGGGGAATTGTGGGTGGTCTGTGCTTTTAAAGGCAGAAAGCTCCTTTTGCTCCTCATGGTTTCACTTTAGTTTAGAACATTTTTGACGTCATTTCTTTGAAATATACTTGTCTCGTCATTTCTTTTCGCGGTAACATGACAAAGACGAGGAGGACTGGTTCAAAGCGCGAAAAACGCTGACCTCATCACAGATTCAATATGGCGGCTTGTAAATGTGTTGTTGTTCTCTGTCCAAATGCACGTCGGCAAACCGTGAAAGTAAATCCAACAACCACTTTACTTCAGGTTTGTTTATTTATATTTCTTTTTACTCTTTGCCACTATGCTAAAGGTTTTTTATTAATATTTCCTGAAGAGAGGTAAGATTTTCCCGGCTTAATTGAGGTGCTTCGGAAACAGACGTACGATATAAATTTTTTTTTCGGTAGAGTAAGAATGAATTTTTTCAGGATTTTAGAACGTAATTCCGTGCTTTCATTTCTCCAGGTACTTGAAGAAGTATGCAGAAAACAGGGCCTCTCATCTGAACAATTTTCTTTGCAGTAAGTAAAATATTTGCTTGTTTCATTTGATAAAGCAGTGCCTTATGATTAGGATTTTTTTTATGCAGAACAACAACAAAGATGGTCAAGTTCACTCAGTCTCAAGCTATAGCGGGAAATACTTATATCTTTTAATCACTCTGATGATATTTTTACACCAGAAGTTGTATATGAAGCTGATACTAAAAAATTGTTACAAACCAGCCTATTTAACTAAACGACATTGTCATTTATTTTAATAATCATTTTGGAGTCATTTTATCCCCAGTAATGAACATTTCCAATATCATGTAATGTGCTTATGGAAACTCACTTTGTCATCATTAACTGTCAGGCAGTGTCATCCAGCCCTAGCCTTACATGTACACTGTACATAGCCTGGAGAGGTCAGAGAAATTAAGGTCTTTTGTGAGACTGAGTCAAAACTATAATTATTATCATTATACAAGAGCCCATTACTCAATTTTATAATGTTTTTAAGATCAAGTAGGTCTGACATTGATTAATTACCCACTCAAGATATGGCTGGTGAAAGTGAGCAGCAGTACTAACAGTTCTTCCTGAAAGAAGGTAATTTGGTTTTATCAACCAAGTTGAAATTGTAAATTAGCCATTGTAAAGAGTTAAAAAGCTGACGTTAGCATTAGCCCATTCATTCTGACCAAGGGCTAGTGCTCGAAATGTCAGCTTTTTAACTCTTTACGGTGGCCAATTTACAATTTCAACTTAGTTGATAAAACCAAATTACCATGTTACCCCCACTGACGCTGCACCACAGATTCTTCAGAAAATTACCCCCTTCATCCTGAAAGAAGGTTGTTTGCCAACTATAAAGGGTCTGAGATAGGTTTGGGTCCAACATAGGTTTGGTGGAAAGTGGGAGGAGGCTTAAATTTGAGTTGGAATGTGGGATACGAGAAATATTAAAGGCGAGATGCAGAATGTAAACAGGAAGGTGAGACCAGGGTAATTGCTCTGTTTCGAAGGCAGGATAGGGAATAGGACGTGTATTGGCAGGATCATGTTACAAGTCACACAACCTCAGAGGTGTTAAAAAGTATTTGTTTCCTTTATAAGGAGGCTTAATTAATGATCCCCAAAAACCACAAATTAAAAGACCTTGACTAGACAATGGTGGTCAAAGTTCAATACGAGCAAGTTGACCATGTTGCTGGTTCTTTCACAATGGTATGTTTTCTGCTGTGGGGACACTGTCTACTTCTTTAGTCTCAGCAACCTTGGAGACCCCAAACATCATAATCTGTGTTGTGATTTATTATGAAATGGGCATTGGTGGAAACAATTTTTTTCTGCAAAGAAACATTTCAAACAATTTACTCATAAAAGGTAGAGTACATTGTCAATATAGTAAAGGCTATGATTTGTTCATCAGTTATAAAAAGGCAGTGAACTAGATCAACTTGGGTTTAACCAGGTGAGATCAGGATGGAAATGTTCATTGCAGTGGGATGGTGGGATGAAATGAAAAATAGCAGTAGGATGCTAGATTGGGAAAGTCTACTTTGGACCCTCACTACAAACCTAACTATTTATTAACTTATTAATAAGTACTGTGTTTTTTAAATCAGTCTCTTGTTTAATCTGAAGAGTTATGGGGAATTGTCAAGTGTGAACACATGAATGAGAGTGGTGCATCTGAGGTGGATCCAGGGGTGGTTCGGGTGTTTCAATTGAACCCCCTAAATTGCCCCTCAAAATGCTGGAAATCATGTTTCCCAAGACCTAATTTTCAAAATCTCCCGGGGGAGCATGTCCTCGGACAATTCTCCCAACCCCTCTTAACTAAATCCTGCATCCGCCCCAGTGCATGTTTCTTTTTTTTTTGACATTGTCTGTTGGTGACAACCATCCCCTTTGGTACTATACCACTACACAGATGATCATACAACCTGTGCAAGATTATCTGTTTTCTTAAGATTACTAAATGGTTGAACCTCCCTGTATTTTATTATATATCAGGCACCAGAGAAAGATTCTTGATGATACTTTACCAATACGATATACTGGTTTGTCCAATAATGCACATTTAGAACTTGTGGCCAGCCAAAAATCAAAGCAAGGTAACCATCAAATTTGAGATTGAAGGGTTTGGATAATATTTAATATAATAGACAAGTATAATTTGCAATAATCTTTATTCCTCCAAGACATGTAAAAGACATATCTTAAGTTACTTAATACTAAAAAGGCTTTGCTACCCTTACCATTCTTACAATAGTCAAAGACTCTTATTTTTGCAAAAAAGTAAAGTAAAAAAATAAGGAGATAACATACAGCTGAAAGGGCTGTTATCTATTTGAGCACTTCATAATTTCCAAATGACTGACTATCTATGCAGGCTCAGAGAAGGAGTTTTTACAAGTGATCATGGCTGTTAACTCTCTTTTTTGTGTTGATTGTTCTGTTGAATGACAAACCTTGTTGCATACTCAAGAATCTAAATGATAAGCAAATACATGTAACTTCAGAATTTGGGTGGTTCATTGTCCTTAGAGCACTACTATACCCTGTTCTTTATTTATTTATTTTTTTTTTCAATTCAGATTGGAATTAACTTAATTGCCTTGTATAAAGCTGCCATATCTCTCTTTAACAGTGCAGTCTGTTTCTACTGTGGGCCTGCAACTAGAGTCTGGTGAGAGACTTGTTAAGGAGTTTCCCTCATCATCTTCCCTGTGGGATGTCCTTTTGTATTGGGATTTAGATGAGAAAAGGTTAGACATTAAAGCCTTGACTACATTGAAATTTAATTGCTGTAACAAAATGTGCTGTTAATTACTTTAATCATGTATCTGTAGTAACTCATCTGTATTGCGATTCATATTGTATTGTGATTCAGTGCTCACAGTTACTGTTGAGTTCTGAACGTGTACATGTACACTTTGGTCAAAGATGAAATTAGGCTGTCAATAACGCAGCTATATCTGGTCAATAATACTGTACCTGGTCTGTCATTTAGTATTTGGGTACTCTGCACTAAGCCATCTGTGCACTAAGCTACAGAAGATTTTTGGGGTCTACATGAAGTTGATTAAACTTAAGTGTTTGGTTTCTAGGCAAAGTATAAGCAGGTGGTCCAAAAGAGATATGAAATCATTTCAGGGAAAACTGCCCCCCCCCCCTCAACAAAAAAACCTGCTTCCCAACAATGCAACTGAATGATTGACTTCATTTACAGTGTAATAATAAATTTCTTGCTTCTAAATGTAGCTTAGTCACTTTTGTTTTAGTTAATTCAGTTGTTCACCTGTAGACATTCTGTTGAGTGGTAGTTCATCATTTGAATGGTATGATCTCAATTGTGAAACTATGTGCCTCTCTAAATCTAAATATTGATAGTCAATGTAGACTGATATTCCATGGTTACTTCTTTAAAGTTTTTTTTTTTATTTTTTGCAGCCCTCAGCAAGGGAAGATTATTAATCCTTTTCCAGAAGAACAGAAGAGTCCAGTGTGCATATACATGACACAAGAGGTACAGATCGAAGGCTGTTGTTTGTTCACAACAGATTGTCCATTCTTAATCCAAATGGTCAAAAGTTTAACTAAAGAAGATGTAGGTTTCACAGAGAGGCTTGAATTCTGCTCAACATAATATGATAATCGTAGTAACATAACTAGAAAAAAAATTCATTCTGTGGATTAACTGATCATGAAACAAACAAACATGGAATTAATGTTTGTAGTAAGTTGTTGCTCCTTGTTTGAGGTGATCATTTTGTCACTGGTAGTTCCACTTGCCACATAATTGATGCTGCTGGCAATTACACAGGAAACAAATCTTGATAGGAGGATGTTATTCAGTAGCATAGAAGGAAGCTTTATTCACTATGAATTGTAAGTTATGGCAATGTTATTTTAATTATGACTCTACAGATTAAAGGTGAAAACTCGTTGCAAACAGCTACTTTACATTCTTTGGGCTTGACAGGAAAAAGAGTAGTCATAAGGTTTGTGATCCCATACCACAATGCCAGTGGCTCTTTGATTATGATCTGGTGTTTTTTTTGTTTTTGTTTTTGTTTTTTTGTGGTTGCTTTTTTACTTCCATGCAGTTACTAGTCTAAGAATTGTTTGTGAGTTGTAAGGGCCTTTAAACACAAAAGTTTGGAATACATTCATGTTTGAACATCATAAAATTCCAAGAATCTGATTAAATGGTCTCATTGAAGTGTATTTTTACAAATCAAAAGTGAGTTTTGGACTCAATCCAAAGCAAAGACTTCTTATTATTACCTCAGTCTGTGGTCCTATCACAATTTCTTATTTCCAAATGGTAGTATTTTTGTCTTGTTGTAATAATTTTGTGTAAATTGGTTGAATGCTGTTTACTGTTGTTTTTATTATTAGATAACAACAAAGCAGTGCGAAATAAACTGTCTTGTAACTTGACTATTGAAAAATTGATCTTCATAGATAAGCTTCAATGAGAGTCAATGTGAAAAAGAAAGGCATCTAGTGGACCCCTAGTGGGATAAAACAGTTGCTTCCCAACTAACCTGTTAAGATCAATGTGTCACTTGTTATAACATCTATATGTCAACATAATTATGATCTATTCTTCAATTTGAATAGATATACCATCTAATCTCTCTGAGCCTCCTTGATAATTTACTTGCAGGTTGATTCATAGACAACTGGTAGAAACAGTAGCTGAGAATGTAGGAGTGCCGCCAACAGAGGAAGGTAGTCATATGTATCTCTGTCAGTAATAAAACGGTTATTTTTATTTTTGAGAACTGCAGCTCCAACCATTATGGTTGGAGTGAACATTTATGCTACTTTCATTCCAAAACATCTGTCAGTTATTCAAACCAACCAGAAATTGGTAGACTGTGAAATGTTTTAGTAATTATTTAATCTTTGGTTGTAAGGGACGCACCGTATGATAAGTGTACACATGGAGGTGGTAGACCCTCCTTACCTGTACATGTAAGCACCGTGCCATAAGCCAGAAGGGATACAGACAGAAAATGAGGCATCGTACAAACTTGTCTTTTATTTTTCAAAGGGGGTTTAAGAAGTAAAGAGATTCAATTTTTCTTTTTGAAAATTATAAAATTACATGATGGGATTAAAGAAAAAAATCAAAGTTTTGTTTGGAATTACACTGTTCCTTACAAAACTGCAAGCACTCAATGTCACTATAGGGGAATCCTTGTTTACAATATTTGCCTCATTAGCGTAAGCAATTCCATTTCTGATGGAGCTAAAAATAAATCAGTTCTGAATATCGAAAGGTCAAAGTACGATTAACTCGGCCAATGAATACAAGCCTGATGCATTGAATACTTTTTGTGTAACACGGGTTTAAAAACTCAAAATTTTACATAGAATGTATTAGCTCATTAGTGCTTTTGCCACCCAGAAATTTTTCAGTTTTTGATGGACTATTTTCCTTGAAATATGGKKCCKAA